ACCTTAGAGAGAGAACTATTAAAAAGGCCCTGAGTCCCTTCCCACCAGTGGTGGGATTCAAATTTTTTTACGAACAGTTCTGTGGGCGTGGCTTGGTGGGCGTGGCAGGGGAAGGATATACTGCAAAATCCCCATTCCCTCCCCAACCCACTAACCTGCTTTCCAGCTCCGTTCTCCTGTGCAGGGCAACCAAAGAAGACCCAGGTGATCAGCTGGGACTCAGTGGGAGGCAGAGAAGAGATTGGGGTTGGTGGGACCAGTCAGAGGTGGGATTGGCTGGTTCTTCAGACTACTCCAAATTTCCGCTACCGGTTCTCCAGCACTGGTCAGAACATGCTGAAAAACACCTCTGCCTCCCACTATGTAGAATTACATAGAATGATAGGGCTGGAAGAGACCTTGGGGTCCTCTAGACCAAGAGGTCTCCAACACCTTGGCAACTTTAAGCCTGGTGGACTTCAACTCCCAGAATTCCCCAGCCAAAAGAAAGCTCAGGACCATTTTGGTTGAAAACATGCACAAGAGGCCTTCATCCTGCAGGGATAGACAATGGCTAGAATGATGATGATGATGATAATTTAGTTTTAATGATTTTAACATTTACTTGTACACCACCCAGAATCCCTCTGTGAGGAAGATGGGCAGTTCCTAAATAAGAGAAAGAGAGAGCAGTGGAGGGAGAAAGAGAGAAAGGAAGGAAGGAAGGAAGGAAGGAAGGAAGGAAGGAAGGAAGGAAGGAAGAAAGAAAAAAAGAAAAAAGAAAAAAGAAAAAAGAAAGAAAGAAAGAAAGAAAGAAAGAAAGAAAGAAAGAAAGAAAGAAGGAATAGTTATATAAGTACAGCAATAGATGTAGGAAATGACAGGCTCTCCTTTTCCTTGTTTGCAGGAGGGTTTTAGTACCTATTCAAGTGAAGTTCAGGATTGACATTTTAAACTGGGTGGGAGCAGGGAAGGGAAGGCAAATTAATGCTATCTGGCCAGGCCAATTCTTGAGAAACACCACTGTAGCTTGGCTGCTCTTAGTGAAGAACAATTTAACAGAAAATGGATTCCTGCATCTGGGGATTTCCAGTGATGGATAAATAATGTAAACTCACTCATTCCTTTTCATCAAGAGATGCATTTTTCATGTTGATTCTCAGGCAAGGGGAGGAGAATTTCATTCTGTTTATATTTTTATGCTATGTTATTCATTTTGCATATTTTAATCTGAACCTCAGTTTTCCAAATGTGATGTGGTTTGCAGTATAAATGATGCACAACATGTATTAAGGGGTGTGTGCACTTGCGTATTCACAAAATGACATATTGTATGTTAATTAATATTAATATTAATTTTGTAATTTTTGTATATTGCAAAAATGTGCACAGAAAGGCACTGAGATCAGCAGCTTGCAAGAGTGTGTATATTAAAGGCAATTCACACCGAACCATGTATTTCCGTACTTTTCTGCTGTCACCCAGATATTTGCTGCTGAGGTAGGGCTGCCTCACTCAAGTACGGGCACAGTGGCAAGGAGTGGCAAGGGCCAAAGTTGCTTCTGGCCCTGTGGCTTTACCCCTCGCTTTGTTTTCTTGGCTGCCTGGCACAGAGAGGGCACGTTGGTGAGTGGCGAGAGCATTGCCCCGGATTCCTCTTCCCAAATAGGCAGACCCAGTAAAACTAGGACGTTAAATCATGCCAGGATTGAACCGCGTAGATTATCTCGGTGTTGTAAATGACTTATTCTGTCATATGAAGAAGCAGAATATCCTAGCATTTCTTTTCCTTGCTGAAATGCTAGCTAGGGAAGGTTTAATGAAGGTAATGGAAAGTGGTAGTTGGTATCCAGGGACAGAGTTGTGACAATATTCTTTTGGTGTATTTGCCAAACCTGTGATGATCCGGGGCGTGACACAAAAATAACAAAGTCACAAAATAAATTCCCTTTAATGCCTCCAACTTGGTCCCCAATGTCCAATTATCCTTGACTGGAGATCAAACTTTTCAAAAAACAGTCTACGAAGGAAAGAAATGCAGTCCAAATCCAATGTAAAGATAATTAGAAATAAAAAACCAACAGAAACCACACTGAATAATTAACACGGCAGACCAGGATGATAAATTGCAGACTTTCAAAGGATAACGTAGCAGCCACAGTTGGGAGGACGCCAAAACCCAGATAAGCCTCAACCAAGATTATGCATGCTTTGCTTTGGGCAAGGAGCTGTGTGCAAATGCCCCACTTATATCCTGTTCTTCCAGCTGCAACTAATGAAAGGGATCAGGGCCCTTTTCTCTCCCATAAGCCATGTTTCTCCCTTCTCTGTTCCTCCCTGTGTGCCCTAGGATGAAGAGGGGGTGGCCCTGGGTCTTCCTTTGAATGTCCAGCCGGACTGTGCCCTTCCCCCATTTCTTCCACAGCCACTGGAGCCACACTCCCACTCCCTGTCAGCTGCTCAATTTCCCCTCAGAGTCAGACTCCAACAAGGGAATGACAAAACCCCTCAAACTTGGGCAGTTAATGAGAGAGACTTGGGAGGGAGGAGGAAACCCTTTTTAAGCCGCTTGCTGAGGTTGCATTAGAGTTCATTAAATGAAAATCTAAACAAAGCTCTGTCATCGCACACCTCACGGCAAGCCACAGAAAGGGAAACTTGACAGAATTTAAATATAAGCTAAGCAAACTATAGCTTTAAGCACCTCTCGAAATTATTTTCATTTGCTACAGTTCCAATGTCATTTATGAAGGTCTCCATAAATTAAGTCCTCTGTGTGGCTCACATAAACCTTTGGTAACTGATTAAGATACGCTTTGATTCTGCATGCAATCACACCGTCTCTGCATGCCAACCTGGGCTTGTTACTCATCTGGATGGCATTCTTGTTAAGTTCAGTTGTGGTGTGGCCTTGTTCTCTGCAAGACCTTGCCAGAAAAAAGCCTTTATGGCTCCCTGTAACTTAGGGCTTCACCCTGCCCGGATCCAGCCTGGGTGAAAGCTAATGAAAGCTGGCATGGTTAGCAAGCATCACCAGTCTCTAGCAGATTAAGCAGGATGTGTGGGCTTGGCCAAAGCTGTGGGGGAGAAGGCACTGGGGGTGGAGGAAGGGAAGGGAAGCCTTCTTCCACTTGGGTGCAGCCCAGTGTTCTGACCCAGGCTTCGTAAACTATCATTATGCACAAACGTAATTTAAAAACAAGACTTATTTTATTGCAATGCTGGGAGTTGTTTTCATTCCCAGCCGGAATTAATCTCAAACAGTCCCCCAAGATAAGCACACACCTTTCAGTTCTGTGGAATGCTGCCAAAAACAGAAGTATCCAATTAACTAGAAAAGAAACCAACCGAAGTATCAAAAAAAAAATCAACCGAAGTACAAAGAGCTTCAACAATGACTGAACCGATCAAACTACTTTGCTTCCTGCAAAGGTTTTGTCACCTTGGCCTGACTTTCATCCCTTCTGGGAGGGGCAATCACCTTCCAGCCTTACTCCCGAGTCTCCCCTTTTGTTTCAGCTGCTCTCACCTTCTAGCAGCTCTGCGCACTCACGCACTGGGAACAGGCTCCCCTGGGTCCTCTGCCTTGCTGCTGCCAGACTCCAAAGGCAGCACCCCACTCCCAGATGGTCCTGGTGCCATGTCCGCATTGTACACAGGACCCTCATCCGAGTCCTCTCCAGACTCGCAGACTGGTCCCCACTGTCTGATTCTGCTGTCTTCTGCACCGGCTGCCATTGAACCACAACACCCATGCCCTTTCACAGCGCTGCCATTCCATAAGGGCTCGGGCAGCCAGGGGTGTCAGGAGCCCTTCAGAGGCTCAGAACCACTGGGGACAATGTGCCCCCTCTGGGCTTTGGGTGCCAGCCAGGTCCTCAGTCAGCCCCCCCCCCTCTATTTGGCTTCCTCGCCACCTGCGGACTTGTGTCAAGTTTGGCTCCGCCAACTGAGCACATTAGAGAGCATGTAAAATATATGGTAAGCAGCTACGTATTGCATTTTTAAAAACCAGTAAGTGGAGATCTAAGTAATTTTCCTTGTCACAGTACTTGGCTTAAATAAACACTGTGAAGAGGGAAACTCCCGTTCATTTTTCATCTCTAAAGAGCCGTGGTACGTACCCAGAGAAGAGGGCGGGAGAGAGGAAGAGGCCTGTGCATGAGGCAAATCCCCGTCTTCAAAGAGGAGACAATTCTTCCTCCTTTTAATCGTGAAAATCCCCTCTTGGTCTGGAGTCAAGCAGGCCTTCCCGGTGGGCACGGCTGCCCGATCTTAAGCAGTCTGAGTCAGCAATGGGCGGCAGAAACTATTTTGAAGGAATTGCCCCTTTTTTCCCCTTCACAAACACAAATTCCAGAAGTGATATCCAAATAAGAATATATTTTCCTCTTTAAATAAAGTATTCGATTTCCAAAAAACCAACAACCCAAAACTTTGGTTTTGGTTTTGTTGATTAGAAAGATTTGGTGTTACAGAAATGGCTAGTTATATGTTAATATGTGAAAGCAAAGCATTGAGGTTGGAGTGTGTTTATCTTGCAGTGTGCTAGGAAGAGTTAGAAGTCAATGCCTCCCTTTTCTTTCTTTTTCTCTTCCCCCTCTTATTTTACACACCCCTTTTCCCATTGCCTTTCTTTCCCTTAATTTCCCATTTTCCTTTTTTGTATTTTATACAAAATACAAAAAAGTTAAAAAAGAAAGAGTTGCCCGTTTTTAAAATAACCTGCAAATCAAAACATGCACGAGACATTTGCCCCATTCTGCCTCTCTGTGGGTTTTGTTTGCTTCTTTGAAGCGTTTTTGGGCGTGGGAAAAGGGTTCAGAGGTATTGCCTACATCCCCATGTCCTCACTCAGGTTTCCGTTCTCGTCCACTTCTGTTCTTGGGTGTTTGAGTGTCAGCCTCTGATACCTGTGCTCTGCCTTGCTTGGATCATTCCTTTCTTTAAAAGTGAGCACAACTAATTAAAACAAAGAACAGGAGACACCATATTTGACAATTCCCCTTTCCTCTCCCCAGGTTTAAGCTCCTGAGCCAGGAAGAGGGAGAATACTTCAACGTTCCTGTCCCTGCTGAAGGTGAAGAAGGCAGTGAAGAATTCAGGCAGAAGTTTGAGGTGAGTTGCGTTTCTCGGGAAGCCAGTCCTTGAAGTCTCCTCTCGTGGCTCTTGCCAAGCATGAGGCCACAAGAGGTTAACTTGGGTTAGCCCTGCGTTCTGGGAGGTGCCCGGCCACACCAGGAGGAACAGATCAGGGTCTACTTGGCTAGTTGAGCCCTTGGCATTAATGGGGCAAATATCTGAATAGTTTGGACTGTGTATTGCACGGGTCAGAAGGAGGGCTGGGAAAATATCTAGAGACCTCAGAAACTAGACATAAACTCTTTCCACCCCTCCCCACGGGATGACGCCCTAGGCGTTGCAAGGCCAAGATATAAGACACAGAGACAGAGCTTTTTCCCTCCTGCCACCACTCTGGTAAACATCTAATTCTCACAGCACTGTCTCTGTGTGCCAAGCATGGCTGTAGTATTATCATTTACCCTCCTTATTAACTTCCTAACTCCCCCCCTCTTTTTACTGGGATGATGATGGTGGTGATGGTAATGATGATGATGGCGGTGGTGGTGATTCTGTTGCTTTGCATGTACACTGAGAGCTTCTACACCGGAGACAAATTCCTTGTGTGTCTAATCACACTTGGCCAATAAAGAATTCTATTCTGTTCTGTTCTATTCATTTTTATTCATTTCTATTTTCTATATTCTATCCTGTTCTGTTCTATTCTATATTTTATTATTCCATTTTCTGTATTCTATTCTATTCTATTGATTTCTATTTTCTATATTCTGTTCTATATTCTCTTATTCCATTTTCTATTCTGTTCTATTCTATTCTATTCTATTCTATTCTATTCTATTCTATTCTATTCTATTCATTTCATTTCATTTCATTTCATTTCATTTCATTATTTCATTTCATTTCATTTCATTTCATTATTTCATTTCATTTCCAACCCAGAGAAATTTTGCACACAACTTTCCAATGACAAAAAGTCAGACAACACAATCTGGGTCCTCGTTTTACTTGGAAGGATGGAAGATTGAGTCAACCTTGAGCCGGTCGGGATCAAACTGTTGTCTGTGGAGATTCTCGGTCATCCAGGTCATGGTTGTCCCAAAGGTGCTTTTTTCAAGAAGGCTCCACACCAATTTGCACCTCTCAGGTGACCCTGATGACACAGATAAACCTCCAGGTGACCTTAATGAGCCACTAAAAGAATGCATATGTCCAGCTGGCTGCCAGTAGTATAAATCCTTCCATTCCCCACCATCCAGTCAGAGCTGAAGAAGCTTGAATGAGAAGTGAAACAGTCTTCAAAGAAAAACCTGAAAGTCCAGTTGCCTCTTGAAAAAAACACCTTTGGGACGATCAAACTGTTGGCAGTTGGTGGAATTAACCTGCAATACTGCATTCTAACCACTGGGCCACCATGGCACACAAAAGAGTTTTTGTTTTCTGAGAAATGGGTGTTTCGAAGTTGTCCGCATTCAATGGGGCAACTATTTTGTTGAGAGTGCCTGTGTGAGATGCCTCTAGTATTCCGTCGGGGCATACCTACTGGCCACAAGGATTTGGGAGGCCCAGCCCTCTGTGCTATCCTTGAATTTTCTCCAGCACCCGTTTGGACATGAGAAAATCTATTCCAGCCCTCCTCAACTTGGTGCCTTATACATTGGCTGGGCTGTCACCCTAGTAATTACTGGTATTGCTGGAGGTCTTGAAGTCACCAGAAAGTGGCCTTTTCTACTAGCCATGCTCCAGGGAGCCCTGGGCAACTGTCTTTTGTGCTCCTGGGTACTGTACCCAGCTCCCATTTCTCCTCCCGGTCTCCCTTTCAGTGAAGTAAATTTTCTTATTTCTTTTATGTTGAACAAAGTGGTGCTATGGATCATGTCCTGATTCTTTCATGAAGGGGAAAACGTCTTCTTGTCCACTTTATCCATACCCCCAAGCATCTTCCTCATTCTCCTTTTTCTCCTCCTCCTCCTCGCAACCTTTCACCTTTCCCTCTCCTCCTCTTACAGCCTCTCCCCTGCCCCTCCTCCTCTTCCTCCTAGCAAACTTTCACACCACCCCTCTCCTACCCCCTACCCCCTCCTCCTTTTCCTCCTCCTCGCAAGCTTTCACCCCTAATATTTTTAATTTTGTATTTTAGTCCCGCCTCTCTGACGCCACTCCCCCGGGTTGCTAGGGAACAGAAAGTCCAGTAGCTTGACTCAAGCTAGAAAAACACTCAGAAATCTCAACAAAACAACATAAATGTCTCCCCAAATTTCACAGGAAACACACCTCTCCTCTTTTTATGATCAATTTCCATCTCAGTGTCAACTGTCCAGTTGATGAATCTGGAAAAAGAAACTTCTGGGACATTATTTTACCAAGAGTATAAAACTTTACTGAATAAACCACATTGGCACAGGAGAAGCAAAACCAGCTCTGCAAAAGCATGCATAGTGAATTCCCCCTTTCTCTACAGGCCACCCACGGTTCATTACATCCACCAATCACTTCTGTTCATTTTGTTATGGGAACCAGCCAGCTACGCTGGGACATCTGCTTGATGTGTCCTCGAGGTGGAAGCAATGTCTCATAAGAACCGACGGATGCTTGGAAGCCATTTTCCCCACCCTTGCATTCCATTCCACCCGCTCCCTTTTTCTGTCAAGCTGCAAGCGAAGCAGAATATAGGTGAAAAAGTGAGTCAGTCTTGACATGCTGACCCTCTGGAAGAAGGGTGGACCTGAAACAATAATAAACATACATATACATGATTACTTACAACCCAACTGCTGCTGCGTTCCCTACTGGGGCCGTTGAGTGTTCTTAGTGTGAAATGTCTTAACTGCCCTAACATCTGGAGCAGCCACCCACTCAGCGTCTGCTAACGGGTAGCCTTTCCATAGTACTAGATATTGTAACTTTCCCTTGTGATATCTGGAGTCCAGAATGCTTTTGATCTCATAGTGCTCCTCTCCCTTAACTAGGAGGGAACGAGGAGGTGGTTGTTTGACTGGTCTCAGCCCAGATTCTGGAAAGGGTTTTAAAAGATTGTAATGAAATACCAGATGAACCCACCTATTGCATTTTGGCAATTTTAGCTAATGAGTGCTCTGGCAGGGGCACAAACTCAGTCCCTGTGACCTCTTTGAAAGTAGTAAAAGCTGTGCTGCTGTGCACTGAGTTGTTATATGCCACCTTTGCGAAAGGCAGGTGTTCGGCCCAATTAGTCTGCTGATAATTTACATAATAGTGCAGGTATTGCTCTATTAATGAGTTGGTGCATTCCGTAGCCCCATTGGTACTAGAATGATAGGTGGTGCTAAGTCCCACAATTTTGCAGTGAATTGCACCCCCTGTAATGTGCTTCAGGACCCTATGTGGTCTGTAAATGTGTTGCACAAACATCTTGTCTAGCACCTGGGGAGAAAGAATATTTGGACACACCACAAAGTGTGCTTGCTTTGAGAACAGGGACGGAGGGGGTGGATAGAATGCAAGAGAGGGGGAATGGTATTCAAGCATCCATCAGCTTCACTGGTTTAGCTTCTTCTGTGCCAATGTGGTTTATTGGTAAAGTTTTATACTCTTAGTAAAATAATGCCCCAGGAGTTTCTTTTTCACCAACTGGGCAGTTGACATTAAAGCAGCTGTCAATGTAGCAGCCTACCTGGGCCCCACCAGGAGATTGGCAGCTTTGAGATCTGACAAAGAAACAGAGGAGGGGGGAGGTGAAGCCAGGAGAAGCTCCCTGTTGAGAGATTCTGGCGGCAGCCCAAGCTGAAGCCAGGATGCAAGCAGCTGGCACAGCCCCAAACAGAGAGCTAAGAAGCTGGAACAATGGCCCGTACTCAAGGAGGAAAGAGCCATAGAAGGACCCTATTCGAGCCCCAAGGGCTGGAGGGAAGGCAGTGGAAGCAGAGGACCAACCGATTCTCCATGGAGTCACGGTGACCCGGGGTAAGCAAGTGAAAAGTTAGACGAGCAGATGAGTGGGATGACCCAAACGAGTGGAAGTTCCCAGCCACAGATCTCAGTCCATCAAAGGAACAGCTGAGGGAGAAGTTCAGCGGGCTGAAAGTCTGGGGAGCCACCTCACCAAAGGCAGCAATCCTGGGAATGGGGTCAAGTGCCATGAAACCACTGCCTATCCCATCTCCTCTGCTCCTGCAGCTGAGCCAAAGGACGGTGGCACCCATCCCTGCCACTTCCCCACCAGTGGGGCAGGAGCTGGTACATGCAGCCCCATTCAGGCACCCCTGGCAGTACTGGGGTTGCCACCTGGGTACATCTTAATGCAAGAGGACCCACCACCATCTCCCCTAGCAGTCTGGTTTGATGGGCAACCCGACAACTTGGCCTACTTCCTGACCCAGGTCTGGAACTGTATGGAATGCCATGGAGTGATGTACCAGGAGAAGCGTACCTGGTCAATGCTGTTACATCTAGTCTGGAGGAGGGTGCAGCAGGATGGCTGGTGTCTCTCCACAACGAGAGGGCTCTGGAGCTGCAAGAGCTGCTGCTGTGAGACAGATTCAAAGACCCCCCACAGCAGCCCAGCATGCAGAGGCCCACATCTGCGCCCTACAGCAGGACAAGTGGCAGTAAGAGAGTACATCCAAGATTTTTGTAGCCTGGTGGCTTACCTGAGAGATTGGCATGAACTCTCCTGGTCTACCAATTCTGCAAGGGACTGAACAAGGAGCTGTATCACAACTGCTCATCCTGGGGGAGGGGGGGAGAGTACCCCACAACCTTCAAGCATGGTAACAGTTAGCCACAAATGCGAAGCTTGACCTGATGGAATACTTGAAGCAAGCTGCGTGTGCAAACTGGCCCTGCTGTATGCTCGACATGCCCAGTGCCCCATGGAGGAAGAGGGGATGTTTTCCCCGCCACAGGGGAGAAGCCCCACCAGAGCCCAGGAGGGTGTATCCAATGGGGGAAGGAAAGTCACGGAGTGGCCAATTACCTCGTGCCACACCCAACCTCTGCACTGTGAGCCCTGGCCCAGCCAAAGCTGAAAAAACCCATCCGTGAAGCTGAAAGAGAAAACA